TAGACAATCGAAGAGCGTGTTATATTGTTAATTAAACTTTCTATTGACTGCAACGATTACTTTACTGATTATTCAGGGTTTTTTAGTTAGCAAATGATGTTAAGCTCTGATAAAACAAATCTGCATAAAATCAGTTTAGTTTTTTATTATATATCTATAAAGACCGATAAAATTGCAAACCCTTAATATATTTGTTACAAGAAAGTTGTACACTTTTTAAGGGTATACAATAGTATTTACTTAAATCATAAATAACATAAACTATATAAAGTATAAATAGAATTTAATAGAAAATTAAAATATTTTATTTATTTTAGACTGCTTTAAATAGCAATTAGTTTCTTAATTTTTATTTAAAATTGCGATGTTAACACTATTTTCAAATGCTCGTATACTTTTATTGATTTTGTTTTATAAGATTTAATATATGTTTATGATTTATGATGATATGTTTAAGAGTTATTTAAGATTTATGATGATATGTTTATGATGATATGTTTAAAAGTTTTTAATTTTGTTATTTGTTTAGCATTTATTTTACTCTGCTTTCAAAACTTTTCTAAGTAAATTTTTAAAATTAGGTTTTTTAATAAAGCCATGTAGATTATTTTTCAATCTGTATTGTGTTTTCTTATTTTAAAATATTGTTTTGTTATTTTAGAATACAGTAGAAATAAAATCAGAATAAATAAAAACTAAAAGAGACTGTTCACATCTAAATCATATTGTTCTTCTAACATTGCTTCACTGGATATATTTTATTTATAAAGTTAGCGAATTTTGAAATTACATTTTTAATGCTTATGCACTTTGAAAAAAACTTAAAGCAAGTAGCATGCAAGCTATTAATTGAGTTGTTGGTGATATATTCTCTGTATAATACTGCCTGTTCACGAAGTGAATAATAGTAAAAGCGAATGGGAGTACCAGCTGTTAAATCGTCAATTGAAATTATTAGCTTCACAATGGCGAAAAAGAGAGAAAAAGATGAGTTATTGATAGTTGTCTTATTTAAGAACAGCTAAAGTGTATGAAGGGACTGGAGTTATTAAAGCAGTTAATCAACTTTTTAAGCATGAATTAATACATTTTAAAACTTTACGACTAGATTTGTTTAATAAAATTTTTGCGGATTCTTTCAGAACAGAAATAGGAATTTTAACTAAAGCAGATTGTGAAAATGCCACAAATCAATTTTTTAATTGTATCTCTATTTATTTATGAATCTGATTATTTTATTTTTCTAAATTAGTCTTTTTAAATTTTGAATATTATTATTAGCATTAACTCTGGTAATTTTCAGGGCTTTTTTTACTTAGCAACTAATTTAAAAAGACTAATTTAGAAAAATAAAATAATCAGATTCATAAATAAATAGAGATACAATTAAAAAATTGATTTGATCCAGGATTTTTTGGTGATTGAGATAGCTAAGTTCCAGACATGGAGCAAACTCCAAACATAAGTATGTTTATACTTATGTCAAATAATGAGTTTGTTCAAAAAATTGCGATGATTGGAGGCAGGTAACAAAAAAAGCCCTTCAACTTTTTTACCCCCTTTCCCTCCTTACCCTAAACATAAGAGGCAACAATTTAATAAAAATTTTTTTTAAATTTTATTAGTTAGATTTATATTCATCGATAAAATTTCAAGTTTCATATTATCTTACAGCGTTCAAAATTTATGATCATATAATATTGTAACCCCCTTATATTGAGGGGAGTTTAAACTTTATATGGTCATAATTTTTGAACGCTCAGAGATAATACTCTGAAACTTAAAGTTTATCAATGAATATAAATCTAATTGAGAAAAGGGCAAAAAAAATTTTAACAAATTGTTGCCCCTCACGTTTGTTCAATGAAGTCAAAGGGCTTTTTCAGTCCTTGCCTCCATTTGTCGCAATTTTTTGCACAGCCTCATTTGACATAATTATAAACATACTACTGTTTGGAGTTAGCTCTATGTATGAAAGTTAGCTCCAAAAAATCCTGAATCTGTCACTGGGTATATTGGAGTAACTATATCTGAACCAAGATTCTAAGATTTTCTTAAAGGTTTTTCAATTCTTTTTACATTTTAAATTTATTTTCAATACTGAAGATTTTACCTTTATTTTTGATTTACTATTATTTTTCATTTTTGTACCAAAAAAATGTATTTTTTTTTTTAAATCATTTAATAAATTTAATTTAATTTAAAATAAAAACAGTTTTATTTTTTAAGCAAATGATATAATTTTTTTTCTATGTGGGAAGGGAGGAGAAAAAGATTTTAGCTCGCTTTAATTACACTAAATTTTAAAAATCCTCAATCAAGTTCACTGAATTGAACTAATTTTGTGTTAACTAATTTTTAGAAAACCAAAATGTAAAGTGTAAATTTACAGTATTGATAAAAATAGGGATTACATTTTGTCTTGTAATATCTCAGAACACAGTTAATCTTTTGGTTTGCAAAATTTGAAGTCATTTTTGAATCAGCGGTAGATAAACAAACAAAAAATTAATTTTTTTTTTAAATTTTGTCCCTAAATTAGCACATTTTTTGTATGTCCCCGAAAATACAAATTTTTCTGCGTGTTTTTATAATTAAATTTAAGAATTAAATTACAGTATTTGTAAAAATTTAAGTTACATGCTATGTCTTGCTATGCCACAGAGCGCAGTGAATCTCTTGGTTTGCAAGAATTAAAGTCATTTTTAAATTAGCGCTGTAGTAACTTTTTAAACTAAACTTATTTTTTAGTTTGTCCCCGAAAATGCACATTTTTTTACTGGTCCCCGAAAATACATATTTTTTTGTATGTCTTTATAATAAAATTAAAAAAAAAAAATACAATATTTGTAAAAATATAAATTATATGCTTGTCATGTCACAGAGCGCAGTGAACCTATTGGTTTGCAAGAATTAAAATCAATTTTAAATCAATAGTAATTTTTTTTTAATTAAACTTGTTTTTTAGTTTGTCTCCAAAAATGCATATTTTTTCACTGGTCCCCGAAAATACATATTTTTTGCATGTCTTTATATTAAAATTAAAAAAAAAAATTGCAGTATCTGTAAAAATATAAATTATATACTACGTCTTGTTATGTCACAGAGCGCAATAAATCTCTTAGTTTCCAAGAATTAAAGTCACTTTTAAATTAGCGCTATAGTAACTTTTTAAACTAAACTTGTTTTTTAGTTTGTCCCCAAAAATGCACATTTTTTTACTGGTCCCCGAAAATACATATTTTTTTGTATGTCTTTATAATAAAATTAAAAAAAAAGTACAATATTTGTAAAAATATAAATTATATGCTATCTCTTGTCATGTCACAGAGCGCAGTGAATCCCTTGGTTTGCAAGAATTAAAATCAATTTTAAATCAGCGCTATAGCAATTTTTTTTTAAATAAACTTGTTTTTTAGTTTGTCCCCAAAAATGCACATTTTTTTACTGGTCCCCGAAAATACATATTTTTTTGCATGTCTTTATAAAGAATAAAGTATAAAATCTCAGAAGTAATAACATTTTTATGAAAAGTTCGTGTATCTAGGCCTTCTCACTTTTATTTAAAAAATAAATACTTTTAAGTTATGCCAGTCAAATGATTAGTTATAAGACTTTTTATTTTTAATTTCTACATTGATTTTAAGAGAGCATTGCAATAGCAAGTTATAATTGGACGAATTTTTGATGGAGTAAGAGAAATTTTTGCTGCTGGTATATTTAATTGTAGACTTTTTTTTCAATTTTGCTCAGAACTATTAGTTAAATTTGTTATTTATTTAAGTGTTTAACTTGTTGAAAAAATCTGAGATTAATTTTTTTTTGATATAATTTATGTGTCTATCTTTGTTGTCACTTATGGAGTTAAACCTATTTTTTGAAGAACGGCCTTGGTACAATAGCTTGTGATTTTAGGTATAATTAATAAAATTTATTGTACCTAGAGCCACAAATTTTTAGACGCTTTTACATGACGGAGTTCTGTTATTTAATACTTTATACTTATATTAATACAAATTAATTAATATAGAGATGTGATCATATCAGTTTAACTATTTTTAGACAAATAAAGTTGATCTTAATACCAAAACAAGTAAAAACAGGCGCTCTTACTACTGAGCTTTAACTGGAAATTTTCTATAACTGGAGTGGCTATAAAAATGTCAAGAAAATATAAAAAGCTTTAAAACTTTTTTATAACTTAATTCTTAATACTTTGGTTTGCAAAACGTAAGTCATTTTTAAATTGACGCTAAAGATAGTAAATTTTTCAAATTAATTTTGTTTTACCAGTTTGTACCCAAAAATGCATAATTTGAGATTCTTTATTGCCCCCCCCCCCCCCAAGGTAATGCAGCTAAAAACTATAGGTCTAACCAAATAGCTTTATACAGTCCTAGCTAACTTTTTAATTGGCTTCTTAAAAGGCTCAAATATTGTTTTTTTTGTTTTTTTTAATAAAAATAAAACTCTCAAATAAAAAGTAATTGATTTTTTAAATTGACGGTTTTACGAATCTGTGGTTAAAATAAATTTTTTACAAAATGTCCCCGAAAGTGCTCTTATAGGAAATGTCCCCGTAAATTCAACATTTATTGTATAGTATAGTTTGTTTTTAGCTACTGAGAAACTTGTCCCCGAAAATGCACTTATAGGAAATGTCCCCGTAAATGCAACATTTTTCGTACATAAGAAAGGTGTCCCTGTTAAGGCGGATTTCCACTCACAGGAAATATTTCGTGGAACGGAAAAGAAAAGAAAAGCATTCATTCATGTAACAAAAAATTTTTAGATACGCAATTTTTATGTTACATGATTGGATGATTTTCTTTTCTTTTCCGTTCGACGGAAAATTTCCTGTAAGTGGAAATTCGCCTTAAATGCTATATATAAAAGGTCCCCATAAATTCACCGTATTTTGTAAATTCTCAGAAAATGCTCTTATACAAAATGTTCCCGCAAATCCACTAAATATTGTATTTTTTCGGTTAAACTTATTCGATTTGAGAAAAAAAAAAGGAGTAAAGAAAATGGAAGATTTGATAAAGCATTATGAATTTCCAAATTTACCTCTCAATTTTTCAAATAAAATTGACGAAGGTTCGTTTGCCAACATCTATTTGCACATTTTCCGTGAAAAACCAATCGCTTTAAAAGTTTTCAAGGCAAGTTTACCAAAAAAAAAAATGATACAAATGTGTATAAATCTCAAAAAGCTCAAGCATGTCAATGTTGTTCGATTTAAAGGCTATTGTTTCAGGCCTTCAATTATTGGATTTGAGTATTGTTGTGTTAATTTAGACGGAGATGACGTAAATAACTTGTCGCAACTTATTGCTGTATTAAATAGTGATAATATTTTTGAGTTAAATGATCGATTAAATTACATTTCTCAAGTTTTGAATGGACTAGCATACCTTCACCAAGAAAACATTATTCATTGCGATTTAAAACCTTGTAATATGCTTGTTAATGGAAAATCTGGAAAAGATTTAGTGGTTAAAATAGCTGACTTCGATGAGCTTTTGAGGTTGAAACAAACATTCACATCTAGCTGTACAACGTATTCTCAATTTAGGGGTATGACATTAAGTTATACTGCACCTGAACTGTGTCAGTGTATTGTTCAAAGACCATCAAAAGAAAGTGATATTTATTCTTTTGGAGTTTCTGCCTTTGAAATACTATCTGATGCTTCTGCTTGGGACGAAGTTCTTCCATTACTAAATGATACAATGCTATTAAATGCTCTCCTTGATGGAAAAAGACCGAACATAAAAAAACTGAAAAAAATATACTCATCAAACAAATGTGAACATGTTATTTTAGCTATTATTGAATGTTGGGATTCTGATTTTACGAAACGACCAACATCAGAGATGGTGAAATTATTTTGTGTTATTTTATGCATTATTTTTTATTTTTAAATAAAAAATATCATAAAAAGTTAAAAATGTATATATATATTTTAATTTTTTATATAAATATATATATATATATATATTTTTTTTTAATTTCATATTTATATTTGACAAAAAAAAAATTTAGCTTAAAGAACGATTTGATAGTATGGCTAAAAACCCATCTCATCAAATAAAAAAAAAGGTAATAAAAGATTGTCTATAGTGTTTTTTTCGTCTTTTAAGTCTCTTTCTAAAGCACTTCATATATAAAATTACAACTATAAATATTTAAAATTATTAGGTTATTTTAAAAGAACAAGTTAATCTTGAGTTAGCAGTCAAGACACAACTGCATAAATACCCTAAACGCGGAAAAAAAGTTGAAGATGTTTCTATTAACTATGTAGGACAGACAGATCCACCTGGTTTCCAAAAACATTACATTAACCAAGAGATTGGTAACTTTAATTTCCATTTAATCCTGAATTAAATTTCTAATAAATAAAACTTATGTTTAACTTTTAACTCAGCTAATTATCTAACATTAATAATTAATTCATATGCATGAATATTATGCATATTTATGTAAATTCTTTTTTAACCCACAATTTCATTCAAAAGTTTAGAATATAAGGAAAAGTAAAATAAGATTATAAGGAAAAGCTAAAATGTTAAAATTGAATTGAGTTTTTTGGATATTAACATTATCAGGATTTGGAGTTTTTACACTTTTGCCAAGAAAGAAAGGCGAGTTTCTGTTGGAATATCGGGGTAAAATGATGACTGCTCAAGAAGGAAAGTTATTGGAAGAAAATCACAAAAATCTTGGAAATGGTTGTTACCAATACTTTTTTACTTTCCAGGGTAAAAAATGTTGGTAAGTTAAATGGCTTGAATTATTTTTTCTATTGTTTTTTTTTTTATTTTTTGTCTCAATCTGGTTAGAAATTAATAAATCTATAATAAATACTATCAGTTGCTGATTAAGAATTATCCAGGACTTATAGTCTTTTTTTTTTGTGCCTAGGCCTAAAAATGACTAAAACAAAGTCCTCTTAAAAATTTTGCAGTCCCAAAAAATTTTGCAAGCCCCTCCCCTCTTTAATCTAGCATAGAATTGTATCTGAAAAATTAATATAACCTATGAGTTTTTTTTCCTGCAAAAATCACTTAGTTTTTAATTATAAGACTTTTTAATAATAGCATTGATGGAACTGAAGACACCAATTTGGGAGTTTTTGTTAATGACTCAAAAGCAGGAAATTGTGCAATGCATATAAAAGTTTTTTGTGGCATGCCTCATTTATGTTTGTATGCACTTAAAGACATAGAAAAGGGCACTGAGTTGCGGTATAACTACAATTCAGTAAATTTATGGTGGAGAAAGGTGTATATATTATTAAAGTGTTTAAACTTTATCATTTTTACCTTTGAAAATTAAATTAAAATATATGGAATCTTCTTACATATTAAAAAATTATTTAATATTTTTTATCGAAAATAATTCTATTAGTTAAAGTCTACAAGAGAAAGCTTTAAACTAGATGATTTGAAGCAAGCAAGTCTGTCTGTAAGTAAAATTGTTTTGAATTTCTATATTCATTAGGCAATTATATTTACTTAAATTAAATTCACTTTTAGATTTATATTACCTAGGCAATTAACAAAAATAATATATACATTTATATATATATATATATATATATATATATATATATATATATATATATATATATATATATATATATATATATATATATATATATATATATATATATATATATATATATATATATATACATATTCAGTAAACTCCGGGTTCTTTGAACTTCTAAGGGGAACAAGAATTTAGTTGGAATAACAAAAATTTTGAATAACATAAATCTTCTTTAAAGGGATTACCAAGTTCCAAGACATTTTATTTTCATATTAAAGAGCATGTTATAAAAAACCACTGTGCAAAATCTTTATGATTAAAACTAAATAATAAATCTTTACCTGAAAAACAAATCTTGTTTTTCAAATCAGAGCTCACCTTTATTTTTTTGGCAGCTGAAATCTTTAAAATAAATACGTTTTTCCAGATGCAATATTCAGACTTGATAATTTATTCAAGTGCATTTAATTCCTACTTTAATTTAAGTTACAGTACTTATAGCATTAATGTTTTTATTTTTTTTTATTTTTATACCTACAATCACTAAATTATATCTAACTTTTTTGTTATTTATTATATATTTTATCTATATTTAATTTATTACTAAATTAAATTTATTAAAACTTTTTCTCTGAATAATTTTATAAACTAGACAACTTTAATTCACATGCTGTTTAAAACTTTAAGTTAGATAAAACATTAATTTTCTCACAAACTTTTCAATTTGAAAAAACTGACTCCAATTTTTGCAACAATTGAAATCGATGACACAAAAAAATTAATGTTTAAAGCAGTTGTTTCTATGAGCATTGAAATGCTACATAAATTCTTTGTTAAAATTTTTTTTAAAAGAGTTTTAAAAGCCAAAATTATTGTAAAAATTATAAAATAATAATAATAATAAATTAAATAAATAATAAAATATTTATTTAAATTAATAATGAAATTAAATGTTAATTTAAATGATTTAACATATATAATAAAAACTAGGCTGTGTAATTAAAAATAAAACTTATATCAACAAATTTAAAATAAAAAGTCTTTTTAGTTTTTTAAGTTTAATTCTTTATTTATATATTTGTAATCTTTCATTATGTTTTTTTATTGAATACAAAGATTATAAATAAAATAAATTAACAATTTTTTAAATTTAAGACTCAAGATTTTTGTAAAAATTTAACAATGACATCATGTGCTAAAGCTATTAAGAAATAAATGCACTGGAATAAATTATCACTGGTAATCGTCGTCCAAATATTTTTCCAAGAAAAGCCATTGTATATTTATGTATATATATATATATATATATATATATATATATATATATATATATATTTATATTTTTGATAAATAAATTGCATACATTGTGATACCAGAGAAAATATAATTTTTATATAGCACTAAAAAATTTAAATGGAAAAAATTTATTTTAGTCAATTGACAATGATTGGGATTGTGCTGCTGAGGCAAGTGGCAATAAAGTATTCAATATTTCAAATGAGTTGTCGAAAGAAATTTCCATAGATAATAATAAGAATGTAAATAATTATTTTTTTTTAAAAGTCTTTTTTGTAGTTTTTTATGAGTAGATAAAATATAATTAAAATTTAAGAAGATAAAAGTTTTTATAATATTCAGAAAATTATAATTTTAGAAATATTGTAAATGCTTAACACTATGTATATTGAATTATTATGGTTTATAGATATCAATTGATGAACATATCGGTGTTACTTGTTTATCTCCTGTTTCTCCTGAATTTTGTATGAAAAAGGTACACATTTTTTTCCTAGAATAGCGATTTTACGGGAAAGGGGTGTAAAGGGTATGACTCGCCCCCCTGAGTAGCTAATTATTAACATTTAGTTGGTTTTTTCAGGATCTTAGTCGGCCAGTTGGTAGATTCAGAGTTTTGAGGACTTTTCTTTTTTTTGCAAAATTTAAAAAATCTTTTTATTTGTATAATCGCCCCTGTGTATATATATTTATATTTAAATAAATGAATTGTATGCTTTGTGATTCCAGAGAAAATATTATTGTTATTTATAAAGCATTAAAAAATTTAAATGCAAAAAAATATTTTTTAGTCAATCAAAAATGATTGGGATTGTGCTGTTGTGGCAAGTGTCAATAAAGTATTTCATATTTCAAATGAGTTGTCAAAATAACTTTATATGAATAGATAAAATAGAATTAAAATTTAAGAAGATAAAAGTTTTTATAATATTTAATAATTTTAGAAATATTGTAAATGCTTAACACTATGTATATTGAATTATTATGGTTTATAGATTGATGAACAATTCGATGTTACTTGTTTATCTCCTGTTTCTCCTGAATTTTGTATGAAAAAGGTAAAATAGAAATAATTTTATTACTGAGGTTTTATAAATAACTATAAATAATTTAGTCAAAGTATTTAACAGTTCTAAAGTATCTAGCCATCATGGTGCAGAAGTTAGTGAACTTGCTTCAAAAACAATAGATCTGTGGTTTAAATCCACCTCTAATCAACTTTTACAACATCAGTTAGGAAGGAGATTTTAACAACTACCTGTTAAATCCTATTCGGCAGTGCTCTAAATTTTAAGGACTTCTTGGGGGCACCTAAAAGAAATTAAAAAAAATTTATTTATTTTTCATACTTTCTTATATTTTAGTCCAGTTCATTTCAATTTGTTGAAAAGAAAAACAATGTTTTAAGTCCAAATCATTCCCAAAATGAGTAAGCAATACAATTATACTTAAAAATAAAATTTTATTGATTTTATTTGGTCTACTGATGACGCTCCATTTATAGATTTCAGTGGTAATATGCATTGTAAGTCAAAATTTCATCTTTTGCATTTAGGCAATGGCTGGCTTCAAGTTGCTATGGTTTATTGAATGGCGATTTGTGTAGCAATTTTTCTAGAGTGTTATCTGATACAAACGTATTTTTTTAAAGTTATTTAAATGAAATGTTTTTATATTAAGCAACAACATATTATAAAAAAATTACATATAGTAAGAAATATAGCAGCTCCAGAGCTGGCTCTGGAGCCAGCTCCTTCAATAAATATTGACCTGCTATATTTCTTACTATTTAATTTTTATTTTGTAAAAAACATATCTAAGTACTATAAAAATTATTTTGTGAAAGAATTTAAAAAATATATTTGAAAAATTATGGTATATAAAAAAGTCACTATTGGGTTTTTATGATATCCTAAATTTCTTGAATATATATAGATCAATTTTAAACTGTTAAATATTTTGTTTGACCTGTTAAACTTTGAAATTTATATTTTTAAAGTTTTACTCATTATATAAAGTATATAAAATTGTTTAAAATAAGTATTAGCGTTTTTAAATAATTTTTGGCATTTCTTTAGAAATTAATTTTATTGCAACAGTTTAATATGTGATGGGGTTCAATTTCTCGGGTTATGATAAGTCACTTTAAAACAATACCTTGAAACATTGTCAATGATTTGATTAACAGAAATTTATTTTATCCGTGTATTCACATGCCATGTAATCACATGATTTTTTTAAATATTTTACATTTGTTGAAACATTTTTAAATCGATTTAAGCATGTGAATACTGTTCTAAATAAAATTAAGAAAAACTTTAAAAAGATATTTTGAGTTAATCTAGTATTAGTTATTATTTATCTTTACAATTTTTATTTATTTATTGATTGATAATGTGTGTGTTATTGATAAGTATTCATCTTAATTAGTTGATTAAGATTTTTAAGTAATTGTTTCACTAATAGGTAAATAAAGATAATAGATAAATAGATGAAGATAGTTAGTTATTCAACAATTGAATATTTAAATTAATTTTAAAGATATTAATAAAATTTTATGGGCATCTGTAGAGCAATAGAAGGAATAGGAAATTTAAAAGTTAAAACCAACTTTTAAGGGAATTAAAGAATACCCCAAAAAGATACAAAAGGCCTGTAAAGTAGTAACTTTACAGGCCTTTTGTATCTTTTTGGTAATAAAAGTTATTACTTTACAAATGTAGAGAGGCTGTTTTCAGCACCGAAATTTATATCAAGTGATCTGAGTTCCTCACTCAAAACTGATTTTTTAGATAAAATTTTATTATTAATAAAATAATATTTTAAAATATTAACTTAGGGGAGGGCAAAATATTTATAAATTTTATAAATTTTAATCACTTCAATATTTTCCTAATCAGATTTGAACTCTCGGATAAAAATAATTTGATTGTTTTGTTTTACTTTTGTAATATAAAATAAGTTTAATGACCTCCTAAATGTATTAAAAATTTTATTACTATAATTTTTGAAAGTTGTATATTTATTATGTTTGTTTTTTTACTATTAGAGTATCGATTTCCATATTGTTTCGGCCATTCCAGACCAAGTAAAATAATTTAAAAAAAAAAAAAATTGTTTATTTGATTTTTAAGACAGAAGCACAAAATTTATTATGTTAATACTTTATTATTTTTATATAAAACTCTAGGTTTCTGGGATCAACAAAACTTGTGTTATGGTAGAGGATTTATTTGTTTCTGAATCTGGTTCAGATTTAGAAACTGTAAGTTCATAAAATTTAATTTTTAATTCTATCCAATGTATAAATTAAAGTGATGCAAAAAAGATGTTTTATTTTCCTTTTCTTTATAGGATAGTGTACTGGATAAATTTCTTATTCCAGTGAACAAACCCGTCCAAAGCAAGGAAACAAAATGTGATCTAGAGGTATAAAATTAGTTTTCTAGATATGAAATATACCATTAGTGATGATGTCCTTGAATTTTAATAAAAGTTATAAATGATAAATCTTCTTACAACATATATTTACAACTTACAACAACAACTTACAACATTACAACATTTAATTTTGTAAAACTTGCTCAAAAAATTTTTTTTTTAATATTAAAAACAACAACTTTTTTTAGGTTATAAGGATAGAAACACAAAATTTTTTTTGTGTACGTTTAATCTAATTTTCTACACTTGTGTGGTTTAGACAGTTATTCGTAATGACATAAATGCTATTACTTGATGTAAGGATAAGTCAGATTACATAGGCCCTAAGTGACCCTTGATTCACAGTTTAGACCTGCATAAACTGTCTTTAACCTGCTGACCCACAAAAGTGTTTAAAAATCCTGGGGAGCAGATTTTCTCCACAGTTGCAAAAAACAAGACCAAATTCAGAGCGTTTCTATCAAATGAAGTAACAACTATATCATTATTGACATACAAAACAAATTTTTTTAACCACAATGCTTGTTTCAATTATGTTCCAGAAGCAAAGACTCTTGTGGCCAAAACGCTGTATTACTGTACAATAATAAATAAATTCAGTAAATCTAATGTTTTTTACAAATAGCATATGCAACGTATTAAATTAAATTTTTTGCCACAAAAATCCATGGCCCTCTACTGATTTTTAACAAGTTGAGACCTATGGATTATCCTTACGTCACAAAACCTGACAGAATACAAAGTTTTTAATGTTAATAATTTTTTTTTATAAAACTATAGGTTTCTGTGATCAAAGAAACTTGTGTTATGGTAGAAGATTTATTTGTTTCTAAATCTGATTCATATTTCGAAACTGTAAGTTCTTGAAATTTAATTTTTAGTTTTATCTAATGTATAAATTAAAGTGATGCAAAAAAGATTTTTTATTTTCCTTTTCTTTATAGGATAGTATACTGGATAAATTTCTTATTCCAGTGAATAAACCCGTCCAAAGCAAGGAAACAAAATGTGATCAAGATGTACAAAGTTAATTTTCTAGATATGAAATATACCATTAGTGATATCGTTTGAACCTTAAAAAAAAACAATAAAAACTCTGGATTCATGGATGTAAAACTCAAAAATAAAAATAATAACGATAATTTTTTTTTAATTGAAATGATGTTATTTATATTATTTTGCAATACACTATATTTGCGTTATGTTTTATATTTTAGTTTGATTTATTGCAATTGGTTGATGAGGGAAAACCCCAAGTTGAGTAAGTAATGTTAAACACATAGCAAAAGAGTTTTATCAATTGTATTTGATGATGATTATGCTGCATTGTGTTTATTTTGGAAATTTCAGGGATTTAAATTTTTATAACTTTTTATAGACAATGGGTTACTTCAAGTTGCTATGATTCTTTGAATGGAGATTTATTCGGAGTTCTATCTGATACAAAGGTATATTTTTAAGAATTAAAAATTAACTTTTCTATTTTACTTTAGCTAATATATTTGTTATTACTGCAGTTATTCATTTGATTTTTGAAAATTAAAGGAAATTGAATTTCTAGATATGAAAAATACCATCATAGTTTTGTAATTTCAAATATATTTTTCACAGCATGATGGAATAATTATGATTTGTTGCAAAAATAATAACTTTTTTTTTACATATTTCTATGTGAGTCATCTAACCTTAATATCTTTTTAGTTTGTCTTTAGTTTGTCTGAACAGTATTCATATTTTTTTTCATCTCCAGCCTATTACAGGTGTTCATTCAAATGTTATTTTTTTTTAACTTAATAACCCCCTAACAATCAACCACTATTTAGTTTGGGAGTTACAGAAAACAGAGAGCAAAGTTAAAGAGCAAGATTTAAAGTTAGATTTAAACGAAATTTAGCAACTTTGAGTTGACAAAAAATTTTGAAATCAGTAAAAAACATTTGTATAAACGACTTGTCAGCCAATCAAAGAAATCTCCTGTAACTTCCAGATACTCAAATTTTTCTGATTTGAACTAGCTATTGCACCTTTTAACCTCTTTCATACCAAATCTGCATGCTTTTTTTTTTTGATGAGGGAGGGGGGGGGGGAAGGCATGCTCCACAATTGATATCTTACTGATAACAAATTTAATTAAGTTATCTCAGGTTATAAGGGCAAAATTTTAGAGTTATTTAAGTTATTAAGTTAAGAGTTATAGAAATTATTTTATTTAGCTGAAGCAGTTCAGTAACAAATTTGTTCAAGAGTTAACCACCACAGTTAGTAATGGTATTAGTTTATGCTGTGACTGGTATTGACACCAGTGAGTGTGCTTTTAAGCACACTAAGACAGCTAAATCTTGTGATGGTTTGACCTATTGATTAAGTCTTGCTTTGAATTAATTTGTTGAAGTAGCCTTGACAACATTTTCAGGTATTGCATTCCAAGAGTTTGCTCGATTTAATAAAATATTTTCTCTATGTTTATGTACTAAAAATTCTTCAGAATATTTTAGGTTATGGCCACGAGTACAATTCAATTTGAAGGAATGATTTTCTTTAAACTCAACTTTATCATAACCTTTTTAATATAAAATTTAATATTGTTGTATTATAAAGTTTAAAATAATTTTGTCTATATAAGTGATGGTTTTTGAGTTTAATGGAAAAAGAAAAAACTCATTTTAGTTAATTAACTAAAATGAGTTTTAATCAATATTATTTAATTTGATTTAATATTTAACTGTTATACTATGTAAATATATTCTGAATTGATAATGATTTAGAACAGGAGTTCCCAACCCTAATCAAAACTTAAGTAATTGAATTTTTTTTTCAACCCTGGTCCAACTAGATTTATCCTGTAACTAATACCAGAGTGATGCAGGGCTCTAAAATGGTGGGGAAGCACCTCTAGTAGGCTATAAACCCTAGGTCAAAATGCCCAGAAGTATGGCCCACTTAAAGGCCTCTCTATATTTAACATCCCGAGCTTAGACGGATAAAATTTAAATTAAAAAAATAATTTATGGGAAAATATTAAGCTAAGGAAAGAGTTTGTCTATTACAAATGGGTGGAGCCCGCCACCCTACCGATATTCAAGAATATGCTTTAGAGTAAAAAAAGGTTGGGAACCCCTGATTTATAACAAGAATTAAATGAAATTTATTATTAGATACAGAAGAAGAAAAGTCAAAGACCTCAACGCTATTGTGTCTTCTGCAAAAAATCTTTATTTAAATTGAAACGGCATATTAAAAGAAAACATAAAGATGAGATAGTTGTAAAAGAGGCTCTCTTACTTCCAAAAGAGTTGCAAGTCAAGGCATTTGCTCAATTTAGGAGAGAGGGAATTGTAAAATACAATAAGGACCAAGCAATTTTAGATTTCCCCATGTATATCTCAGAAAGAGCCTTAAAAAAACAAAAAGACTTGACAAAATGTAGTTTTTGTAAAATTGTAGTCGTAAAAAGAACATTCTCGAGGCACAAAAAAGTATGTCAATTAAGAACTAATGATCATGTTGTGCAAGTTCCATTAACTGTTTCAGAGTTGCCTGAAGCATCACAATACAATAATTTGTTTATAACTCATATTATAGGAAAGTTTCGAAATGATAAAATTGGTAAAGTCTGTAGAACAGATCAAACTATCCTGAAAATTGGTTCAAAATTTTTTTGGAAATTGAATAAAAAGCAGGACAAATCTGTTGAAGTGTATCGTAGTATACGCAACGAAATGCGCCGTTTAGCACACTGTTACACTTTGTTCCTAAAACAAGAGGGAATTATACAAAAACATAACAACTCATTAGATATGTTTAATCGAGTAAACTTTGATATGCTGTCTAATGTTATTGAGGTTTACACCAAAAAAGATGATGCCGATATTAAAGCTGGATTAAAACAGAATTTGTACTACTTGTTAAAAAAAAGTGCTACAGTGATGCAATTCATTTTTTATAGTAAAGGCATGGACGCTGAAGCTGAAGATGTCCAGAAATTTATTTATACTTTAAAATGTTGGCAAGAATATCTTTTTGGTGACGCAACTTATAAACTGAACATTAGAAGTCAAGTCAACTTGCGAAAACCTGCCAAACTGCCTAGAGAGCAAGATTTACTCATACTGCGGAACTATATCTTGGAAACTATGAAACTGTTATGCGATGATTATGAGTTTCATGATTTACACAGTTATGTCAAACTTAGAAATTGTGCTTGCGCTAGATTGACTTTGTTATGTGGCAGGCGTGGTGGTGAGCCTGCACGTATGTTATTAACAGATTGGAATCAAGCCTATAACAATGAATGGATTGACAGTCAAAGAGTTTATAAACTTGGCAAACTTGAAAATTTTCTTATTAAAACAATGAAAATAGCTTACATGACAGGCAAGGGAAACAACCATCTTGTCCCTGTCCTGATACCACAAGACACTGTTGATGCAATCATAAAAATTGCTAGTAATGGGTTTCGAGAACAAGCAGGAGTATCGCCTCAAAATAAATTTCTTTTTGCAAGTGCTCAGGATTCTGATGCTCACATTTCTGGTTGGCATGTTGTCCATGAATTGTGTAGTGGTCTCCCTCTGAAAAATCCCAATGATATTATAGCTACCAACAATCGTCATCGCATTAGTACTTTGTTTGCTGCTTTAGATGTTCCTAAACGTGACAGGGAATTATTTTATTCTCACATGGGGCATTCTGAACAAATGAATATTAATTTCTATCAAGCCCCTCTAGCTTTGGAAGAAATTACAAAAGTTGGAAAACATCTATTAGCCATTGATGCAGGTAATGATTCGTTTGATAAAAATATAAATTGTTGTATATTGCTAATAAGTTTTTTTTAACAGTAGTTTATGATTAATCATATTTTTGGTATTGTTTATATTATATCTGAGTATTGTTAAAACAATTTTTTTATTTTCTACATATTTTATAAAACTTTTTACAACTTTAAAAAGTTAAACTTTTAGTTGTGGGATAATATTTTAATATTTTTTTTGAGTTAAAAAAATTGGAAAAACTTCTTTCTGTAAAATAGTTTAATGTTTAATTTTTAACAAAACAAATGCATCAAGTTTTTCTTTATAATTAAATTTAATTTTAAAAATGATATTAGGAATAAACATTTCAGCCACTTGCCAAGGTGACTCAGACTGTTTCCTCATATAGTTTTTTAAGAAAAAATGTTTATTTCTAATTATATTTTTATTGGCAGGTTTAAAAGGCTTTGTCTTCAATAGTTTGTCAGTTGTAGTTGTAACAGTATATTATACTGAACCTTGTTTTTTATATAAATTTGTTTAGGTGAAACCGAATCTTCAATATATTCAGAACCAGGTACATTTACTGTTTTATTCAAATCTGTATTAACCAATAAATTCAAAAGTTGTAGAAGAAAAAAAAATATATATATATTTATATATACAGTTATATATATATATATATATATATATATATATATATATATATATATATATATATATATATATATATATATATATATATATATATATATATATATATATATATAAATAGTTATATATATATGTTTAATTATATATAGTTATATATATATTTAAAAAAGTAACTTATTCTTGCGACCCCTGAAAGGAGTTACAACAAGAAAAGTTTCCAACTAATTTTAGTAATAATAAAAATTTGAAATGCTTCAAATTCTTTCATTTGGTACAGCAGATTGGTTCATTCTCAAGTGATTAGTCCATATTTAATTTGATTTTTTAGAGATAAGCTCTCAAAAGAAAAAATTTTTGGAAACTAGCGAGAGTGAAGGAGAAGATAATAGTGGTGAGCTGTTTATAGTCATTCTTTATTGTTTGAAAGTTAATGCAATTACACAGAAAAACGCTGGCCGATTGGTCGTTATTAGACTTGTGTGCACGGTTTTACAAATTATTTGTTTTTAACTTATGTAAAAATTTTTACAGATGTTTTTAATAACTATTTTGGAGATATGTAAATAAATAAAAGTGTTATCACAATTTTTCATCAAAGTATTGAACAAAATAAAAGAAAAGTTTCGAACTAAGTTTAGTAATAATATAAATTTGAAATGCTTCAAATTCTTTCATTTGGTATGGCAGATTGATTCATTCTCAAGTGATTAGTCCATATTTAATTTGATTTTTTAGTGATAAGCTCTCAAAAGAAAAAATTTTTGGAAACTAGCGAGAGTGAAGGAGAAGATAATAGTGGTGAGCTGTTTATAGTCATTCTTTATTGTTTGAAAGTTAATGCAAGTACACAAAAAAACGCTGGCCAATTGGTCGTTATTAGACTTGTGTGCACGGTTTTACAAATTATTTGTTTTTAACTTATGTAAAAATTTTTACAGATGTTTTTAATAACTATTTTGGAGATATGTAAATAAATAAAAGTGTTATCACAATTTTTCATCAAAGTATTGAACAAAATAAAAGAAAAGTTTCGAACTAAGTTTAGTAATAATATAAATTTGAAATGCTTCAAATTCTTTCATTTGGTATGGCAGATTGATTCATTCTCAAGTGATTAGTCCATATTTAATTCGATTTTTTAGTGATAAGCTCTCAAAAGAAAAAATTTTTGGAAACTAGCGAGAGTGAAGGAGAAGATAATAGTGGTGAGCTGTTTATAGTCATTCTTTATTGTTTGAAAGTTAATGCAAGTACACAAAAAAACGCTGGCCAATTGGTCGTTATTAGACTTGTGTGCACGGTTTTACAAATTAATTGTTTTTAATTTATGTAAAAATGTTTTCAGATGTTTTTAATAACTATTTTGGAGATATGTATATAAATAAAAGTGTTATCACAATTTATCATCAAAGTATTAAACAAAATAAAAAAAAAGTTTCGAACTAATTTTAGTAATAATAAAAATTTGAAATGCTTCAAATTCTTTCATTTGGTATAGCAGATTGATTCATTCTCAAGTGATTAGTCCATATTTAATTTGATTTTTTAGTGATAAGCTCTCAAAAGAGAAAAAATTTGAAAACTAGCAAGAGAGAAGGAGAAGATAATAGTGGTGAGTTATTTATAGTCATTCTTTATTGTTTGAAAGTTAATGTAAGTGCACAAAAAAATGCTGGCCGATTGGTCGTTGTTAGACTTGTGTGCACGGTTCTACAAATTATTTGTTTTTAACTTATTTTTGCGGTAGTGGTGTAGTGGTAAGACCGCTTGCTTTGTAAGCGAGAGGTTCGGAGTTTGACTCCCACCATGTCCCTGGAAGTACCGCGCTCAACTTAATTTCTCTGCGCAGCGGCCTTGCTTGTCAAGGTTTGTGTTTTGGAGTTAAAGAGTTAAGAGAAGGTTGTACCCTGTTTTATTTTTTGTTGTAAATTACAACAACAAAAAAAAAAATTAAAAAAATAAAATTAAAAAAAAAATAAATTAAAAAAAAAAATTAAAAAAATGAGTAGCCTCCTCGACTGTAGTGGCCCCCTCGGGCCTTGGGGAGGTGAATAATAATAAAATAAAAAAATAAAAATAAATTATTTTACAAATTATTTGTTTTTAATTTATATAAAAATGTTTTCAGATGTTTTTAATAACTATTTTTGAGATGTGTAAATAAATAAAAGTGTTATCATAATTTATCATCAAAGTATTAAACAAAATATTTGTATGTATAATCTATGTATATGTATATATATATATATATATATATATATATATATATATATATATATATATATATATATATATATATATATATATATGTATATATATATATATATATATATATATATATGATATATATACATATGGTTGTATATATATCATATTATATGTATATATATATATATATATGATATATATACATATGGTATATATACATATATATACATATGGTTATAGCAGGATAAACCTGACCTTGGTCAGGTCAGGTTTATCCTGCTACTGATAACATGTAACCCAGTACAATCTGCTTCATGTCCTGCTGCCTTGTAGGATATGCCTTTTTAGGCAAAGGCTAGGAGATGCAAACTCCGACATAAAATACCCCCTGCCTTGGGGCTCTTGGTTGAGTAAAGGCTAGAGATGGTGTATCAATAAAAATACTCATCTTGGGCAGGTGTTAAATGCATCCGGCTGCTGTCTTGTTGAAGGCCTCCTAGGCAAAGGCTTAAGGGGTAAACAGATTCTATCTGTTGACCAGCCTCGCACCCCTTTTTCATCTATTAGGCTGGCGCAGATGTATTTTCAATACATTGTTTCCAGTTTAGGATGTTGAACGCTGGATCTTCTTGACTCGATGCATGGGTTTTCCTTGTGTCTTTGTTTTTATGACTAGGCAACTCATTCTATTATTGCTCTACAATCTTTATCTTCTCTCTTCCAGTAACTTCCAACACTAATTAGTGGTTGCTTGCAGCCTTGTTGGAAGCGAAGATGTTAAAAAAAAAGTATATATATATGTGTGTAACATACATGTATATGTATATATATGAACAAAAAAGATTTGTTGCAGTTTACAAACACGCTTCGCTAGTGCTAAGAATATTGCTAACCAAAGTATTTACCGGCAAAACTGTGCTGTCAAACGGAGATTTTTTTTTAAAAAAAATTATTATTATTGTGGCTTGTTCTGTTAGCTAAAAACATTTTCTAAAAAATTGAAAATAATAGAGTTTTTTTTCTTCAGGTAAAAATAATAATGATGGAAAGGAGGCAGAACTCTTTAAATCTGCAACAGCCTATAATGATTTTGGTAATAAACTTTCTTTAATGGAATAAATAATATATATGTTTTTTATAAAATTAAAATAGTTGTCTTTTATTTAAATTATTTTAAATTATTTTTTAAACCTCAAAATCTTTGATTACATGCATATTGTAGTATTCTTCAATTGTTTATGTGTTTTTTTACTTTTTAAATTTTTTAAACCTTTTTACTTAAATTAAATACATGTTGATTATTATGTTCTTGAGTGAAAAATGAAAACTGAAAAAGAACATTTTTTATTTACTATAGATAATAATCGTTTTTACACACAGTGGAACAAAAAGCAAACCAATGATCTTTTGGAATGGTTTGCCTCTTTTTTAAATGACAAAGAACGTGAATGGCCAGGTAACTTAAATCTTAATTGCTTATTATCCATTTAATATTATCAAAAGGTTTTTTAAAAACTCTATTACCTTTGGTTCAACGAATTTAATGTTTATTTGATTAAATAATTTAATTTTTTTTTTGAGGACTAGACTAAAATGTATAAATAGTATGCTTAGTAAGCTTATAATAGTTTTTCCGTAATCTACTCCCTCACTCGATACTTTTTAAAAATTATTCAACGTTTCATTGCCAAATTATAAGATCACAAAAGGTTGATTTTTTAAAAAAAGTTTACTACTATAAGAAGATTGCCCATCCTTGGCGTAGCGCTTTGACGTATTTAACGAATAACCACTTGTATTTTTACATGATTTTGTAAAAAAAAAAATGTTGTTTTTTTAAGTTTAATTTTAAAAAGTTTTTTAATAATTTTTAACAATATTTCTATTATCTATAACCAGATGGTATTATGTAAACCTATTTTACTCTTAGATCGAAGGCATATAGAAAAGTTTATATCTATATGTGAAATACCGTTTGATTACGGCAAAGTTAGAACAAAACTCACAAACGAGCGACTGAAGTTAAGAGCCGCAAAAATAAAATCGGAGAATACAGCAAGAGAGCGAATCCATGCTATGAATCTATAGGCATAAAAAAATATATATTTATATATTTAAAGTTTTTTCATGAATGCTAAGTTTTTTTCTATTTTAAACTTTTATAATTTTCAAAGCAAAATCCATTTTTCCGTCTGTAAAGATCGGCTTCCTTATATCTGAAAAAAAAAGTGCACGACGGTTGTCGATCTTGAAATAAAAGTATTGAAATAATAGTTATACGTACTGAAAATGTGGGCTTTTATTTTAAATGAATATAAGTCGTGAGACGAGCTAGCTTTACAGGATGGTTTTCAAAATCGCTGATGCCTTGCCAAAGTATAATTCTAATATTTTCTAAATACTTAAGAAGATAAAGCTTAGAGACAACCAGCTCTGCTTTTTATTTTTATTTAAAAATTAAACTGCTTATTTAAAGTACCAATATTGAGCTGAAAATACCGGTAAGTTTACTGAGGGAGGGGGATCGTCGTCCCTGTCGTCGTATTCCCCCCCCCCCCCCCCCACTCTTACTACATGATCTGAATCTGCACTTGCTGAGAAGTTAGTTTAAATATGATTTCTGTGGTTACTTTTATTTAGTTAAGTAAAATAAACATGCTTTATTCAATACTTAAGTTCTTTTTATACTAGTGAAAATATTCAAAATAGAAGTTGGATTGGATTTTTTACTTGAGATTAAATGCTGGTAGCAATCCTAGAATAAAATAAGAATTTTTGGTATCTTTACAAATCGTCTAATTGGCTTTTAAGAGTGCTTAAGTAATTTAAAGAAATTTAAGTTGTCTTAAGTCAAAATTCCTTTAAAACGAGGTCCTTAACTTCATCCAAAAAATAAAGCAAATATAAAATTATTATCTTAGGATATACGTAAATAAGTGTCGCCAAAAATAATCAAATTGCTAGTTTGAGTAAAAGAATATGTCCCCGTAAATGCTCTAAAGAGAACTTTTATGGTAAAAAAATATTTTACAAAATTTGGTGTATTTACGGATACATTTCTTTAATGCTAAGCTTATACGAAATGTACCCTTAAATTCACTAAATTTTGTAAAGTATTTATCACAAAAAAAATTTGCTTAACTTACAACACGAATTTGTATAATAGCATTTTTGGGGACAGTTTTCTTATGAGCCAAAAAAAAAAAGTTCGCGCAAATCCACAAAATTTTGTATATAGATTTTGTACAATTAAAAATAAAACAATTTTTTGGGAAAAAACCCCTAAACTCTTAGCAAAAACTAAAATCATATGTTAAATCAACACAAACCGAAAATAAAACGCAAAAATAAAAGAAAAAAAGTAAATTTTCTCCACTTTATGTGAACTTTTTGAAATTGTCCTCGAAAATGCACATTTTTTTACTTGTCCCCGAAAATACACATTTTTTGTATGTCCCCGAAAATGCACATCTAAAGTTATAAAAATTTACGGGGACCATTTTTTACAAAAAAAATATATATTTAGATGTCATCAAGTACAAAAAACACGCTTATTGTATAGGGTATAAAAAAATAAAAAAAAAGTTTTTTTAACGAATATTTCATGAAAAAAATTAAATTATGTAAATGTCCCCGAAAATATACATTTTTACAAAGTCCCCGCTAATGATCAAAAAGGAGTGTATATATATATATATATATATATATATATATATATATATATATATATATATATATATATATATATATATATATATATATATATAAGTATACAGGCGCGGATCCAGCATTTTTTGATGTTTGAGATAACTAACTTCCAGACATGGTACAAACCCCAAAAATTTATATGTTTATACTTATGTCAAATAAAGATGATTTGCAAAAAATTGCGATGATTGGAGTCTGGGAACAAAAAAGCCCCAAAATTTTGGCCACACAAACCCCAAACAAGAGAGCAACAAGTTGATAAAATATTTTTTGTACAATTCTCAAGTAAATTTATATTCATCGATAAATTCTAAATTTCATACAATAATCTCTTAGTGTTCAAAAATTATAATTGCACAAAGCTTTAACCCCCCTCAATTTGAGGGGGTTGCAAATTTTGTAAGGTCATGTTTTTTGAACACTAAGAGATTATTGTATGAAATTTAGAATTTATCGATGAATATAAATTTACTTAAGAATTGTACAAAAAATATTTTATCAACTTGTTGCTCTCTTGTTTGGGGTTTGTGTGGCCAAAATTTTGGGGCTTTTTTGTTCCCAGACTCCAATCGTCGCAATTTTTTGCAAATCATCTTTATTTGACATAAGTATAAACATATAAATTTTTGGAGTTTGTTCCATGTCTGGAAGTTATTTATCTCAAACATCAAAAAATGCTGGATCCGCGCCTGGTATATATATATATATATATATATATATACATATATATATATATATATATATACATATATATATATATATATATAATATATATATATATATATATATATATATATATATATATATATATATATATATATATATATATATATATATATATATATATATATATATATATTATGTATGATAAACATATCTTACTTGTCTGATAGCATTCCTACAAGAACTCCGCCTAAGGCATCTCCAACTTGCATAATGCTAAAGATTATGTATGCTAGTGAAGCCTTTCCACACACTAAATCCCACTATAAAAAAGACCAAATAATTCAATCACTTTATTATTATGTAAATTACAATCACTATTAAAGTATCACTAAAACATGATCAATATTCAAAAAAAAAAAGAAATTTAATTTTTGCTAACAGTATTTATGTTTGTTATGTTTTATAATATTTAGATTTAAAAATCCTGCTTTTAAGATTTGCTTTTATAGGCAAAAGCTGGGAAAAATCTGACTTAAAATATCCCCCTTAAAACACCTTTGGGCTCATAATTAAGAAACAGTGTTTCAATAAAAATATTTATTTTAGATGTTAACTGTATCTGGCTACTGTCTTGTAGAAGGTCTTCTAAGTGAAGTCTTTAGTGGTAAACAAAAACTTTCTGTTGACCAGATGTAAATCTGTGTTACATTTTTTTCTGTCGAGGATGATAAACGCAGAACTTTCTTGATTCCATTCATGGGTTTTTATTTAAGCTTTACCAAACTTAGTGGAGGCTTTTAGAGGATTCAATTAACAGCTGTAAAATATAAGTATTAATTGCACCATGTTGCACATGGAAGATGTCCCCTGTGAGTACTTTTGTTGTGCATCAAACATCTTTTTTTTTTTCAAAAAATCAATGTGAAAATTGCCTCTAAATCTCTAAATGATCTAAATCTTTTATTTAATCTTAGAAATTAGGTTCTTTAACAACATTTGGGAAAACCTTTAACTATGTCATTAAAAAAAAAAACCTAAAATCCATCTCTCATACATGGCTTATTACTATAATAATTTCTTCTATAAGAATAAGAAAGAACTATTTGCAAAGGTATTTTCTTTTTAAAGAGATAACTTATCTTGTGAACCTAATGATCATAATCTACTTGTCATCATCTGTTGCTAATACTATTTCCTCATTTTCCTCATTTACCTCATCTACAGCTTATGATCAACAATTTTAAAAACTTCATCACTCTCGAAATATGTTTTTAATAAACTTTGTTTTTCTGCTGCTAAAAATGCCATCTTTTGCAAGCTTCAGCAGCTTCTGCTGCTAAAAATGCTAAAAAAATCTTTCAATTGTCAAAAACCTAGGAGATTGCTCTGACACCTATCGCCTCAGCAGTTTTTGAATTTACACTCTTTGAAACTTACTTTCTATACTAATACATCTTTTTCTAAATTAACTAACTTAATATATCATCGAGTCTAAAAACATAATCACTGATAATGAATATGGATTTTAATATTCTTGTTCTATTGCTGACTTGTTAACCATGAATCATTTAGCACAGTATAAAAATTCTCCTTAATGGACATCACCTTCTTTCATTTTAAATGTTCTTTTATGGTAAAAAAAACCTTTTTTCATCAATTTTTTGTTTCAAGGAACAGTATTTCTTTCGAACTCTTTTATATTTTATCGTTTTCCTGATAAATACAAAATACAGTTTTTACAAAATAATAAATATAATGTCTATCAAAATTTATAATAAAATTTATTATTATGTTATACTTATATTTGGTTAAAAACTACATAAAAATGACAGCATAAAGTGAGTTAAGATGAAGATTGTTTTTAGAAAAAATAAAACAATTTTTCCATATTTGAAAAAGTTGTTACTGAATGGCTTGTCAATCATTTTTGTTTTTATCAAATTTTAAAAATAAGTTGAGAAATTACGTTGAAAAAATTTAAACAATTATAAAATTTTTACTAACTTTAATATCTTCATATTACATATTATTACTTAAAAGTTAAATTATAGAATTAAGTTATTCTTAAAAAAAAAAGCAAAGAAAATCAAGAAGAATTTATTTATAAGATATTATAAGCTGTTTGGTACTTTAAATTGTAATTATATTATAAATCGCTAAAATCTGAGTGTAAAGAATTTTGTTAACAAAATACTACAAAACATGTAGTTACTCTAAGGAGTATAAATTCATTTTGAGATTCATTTTTTTTTTTAAATTATCAAAAAACCTTTTAAAAATGCACTTTTTTCATTTTTAGTTTATATATTTTATTATTATATATATAATTAAAAATTATATATAAAAAATGACTTTTTTTTTAAAAAAAATCTTTTTTTATATATAATTTTTTTATAAAATGATTATTATTTTTAAAATTTTTATATTAAAACTAAAAGTGATAAAGTGGATTATAAAATTTTCTTTCAAATAACTTTCAAAAGTATGAACACAATAGAAAAGAAAATGTTAAGTTAAAAATGTGTACGAATACAACAGAAATATATATTTTAAAAACATTATAACTTTGTACCAATCATGTAGAATCACAACATTATAAAGATAAAAGAACAAAAAAAAAAAAAATGTGCACGAACACAACAGAAAAGTTAAAAATTTAATTTAACTACAAAACTAAATAATTTTTATTAAATTATAATTTTTTCTTTTCGCTAGTTATATTTTAGTCAGTTCTTCTTTATAAAAAAACTTATCTTCTGAGCTAAATATTTAAAAATATTTTTGATTGAGCACAATACCAATGTGTATGCAGGTATTGAAGGGGGGGGGGGGTGACCCAAAAATGTGCAAAAGAGCTGTTGAAGATAGTTAACACTTAGCCAGTTTGATTATTTATTGTTCTCTATCTTTCCTAAAACTTGATATATATAATTTTTAACAAAAGCATAGAAGTTCATGAGTTTAAAAAATCAAGATTATGTTATGTAACAGAGAAATTTCGAATTCATTACAGGTTTTTTCATTTTTTAAGTTTTGAAAAGTTTATGGGTTGAGAAAGGGGTAGGCAACTTTATAATAAATAATGCATGCATAAGCAGAGGATGGGGGTTTGTTGAAAACATACAGATGCATGCATCTGTATGGGGAAGGGGGATCCTAAACCAGTGGTTTTACTGTAAACTTACTTTATGAAAGCCATAAGTGTACTTATTTATAAACTTTAGAGCAGAAAGATCCCATCACCGCCAAACTGTTTCAATATATCTTTCAAAAATACTTGTGATCTTTAAAGTAATCTTCTATCAGTTAAATCTTACCTCTTGCAAAGTTTACTAGACTAATTTGCTCTTTGTGAGACCAATTTAAATTCAAATGTTTCTTCTTAAGATCTTATTGTTGATGAATGCTATCCTTTAATTTGCAAAGAATACAATAGTCACATGCATTGCTTGGGTGTATACTTGCACATCAATTTGCACATTTGTTGAGAAATAATGTTTGAATCTTTTGACCATTCTTTTATGCGGTTCAGCTTAACACCTCTTACTCTATTACCTTTCTTTTTGATCATTATCATTCTTTTTTTTCCCAACTCTGTCTCCTTTTAGATGTAATTTCTGATCAAATTGATCATGTCCTTCCTCTTTACCTCTGCCATTGTTGTTATTGGTAACTCTGAATCTCATCACATTAAACAACTTGACTCTTATATCACTGATCTTGCTCAATAACTTGATTGCACTAAATCAATGTAAATTTAGGTGAAGACTTGCAAGAACTGGTATGTATATTTTAAGATCATTATGTTCTTCTTTTCAGAAGCCTTTTTTGTTTACTTTTGTAAACAATGAGAAATGTAAACAAGCAGAAAAACTGAATTAAAAATAAATATACTGAAATGCATAATGATTCTGTTATCAAGTGCAAAACAATTATTACCAATAAAACAACAATGTGTTTTTAGACCTTGTCTAGATAAGAAAAAGCATCATTAGAAGAACCATCCAAAACATGACTACATCATTCAATACAAGAATGAATAAAAGATTTGTAGAGATAAAGAATGGAGCCAGAATTAAAACAATGGCAAGTACAATAAAGAAGAAGCAACCTTAGCAGATGCTAACATCGCAAGTGATTTTATATATGAGTTTTATGAGGGGCGAATGATAATCCAAGAAGTTGTAGGAGAGGATTTAGTAGTTTTCCATTCATTATATATAAGAATGTCAACAATATTGTGATAGTTATTTGCAGTAAACAATTGAGTTTTTTCGGATATAAAATTCACAAGCCACTGAAGTACCAAGCTGTTACAGAGGTGAAACCAGATTCATAGATAAAGATTGGCTACCTGTTCTAAGCAATCGAAAAGAGAAGATATTTTTCAATAAAGCCAAAACACGTTTGATACACATACAGGGCCGCCAAGGGGTAGGGGGCAATGGAAAGGGACAGTTTGTCCCGGACGGCATATATCCAAGTATCGCCAAATAAAAAAAAGGTTCCTAAAAAAAAGAAAGAAAAAAGTCTTTTATCTATTATATAGAGAAATTTTGATACGTAAGGGCGCCAATCAAGACGTTTAAAATACGTTTCAAAGACATTTAGAACGTAACTTTTTTTTTTAAATGTTCGTAGGGAAGATCTAAAAGATCTTGTCGCCAGAACCATATAAAATATATCAAACTTGTTTATATAGTAAAATAAAAATATAATTGATTTGATAACTATTAACAACTTTTTTTTTTTGTTCTTTATTACAATATTTAATACAATATTTACAAATAAATCAATAAGAAAAATTACATGCAAAGAAACCGTTAGAAAATAAAGAATAAAGATAAAGAACGCGGATACTCAAAGAAGACCATACAGGTCTTGTCACCGAGAACCGCTGTATAATAATTTAAAACTATATAATTAAAACTATATAAATATATTTTCAATTGAGAAAATTACTTTTTTTAATTTTTTTTTTTGAACATGTAATAATTCCATTCATGAAAAAATTCAAATTATTGAAAATATTATTTTCAAGTTTTTTAAAATTATTTGATTCCATAAAAAAGCTCCACGAAAAGAAATGCAAAATTTACTAAAGCTTGTTTGAAATTTTGGTTGTTTAATAAAATTATCATTTCTTAAAGAATATTTATTTTTTTCTTTTAAAGAATATAAATCAAAAAAGGAAGCTGGAGATGAGTTGGTTTTACATTTAAGCATAAAGCAAAGAACATTATAAACATTTAATTGATATATATTAAAAACATTCATGTTAAATAAGAGTGGCCTTGAGTGAGTAAAACGATTTTTGAAA